ACAAAAAAAAAAAAAAGTAGACTGGATAAACATATTGTGATATGTACATACAATAGAATACTATACTGTAATGAGAATGAATAAACTATAAGCTGTAAGCTATATTATGGATGAAACCCATAAACATAATATTAAGCAAAAGAGGATACAACTGTTTCTTGCTGTCCCAGAATAAGCATCCCTCAGAGAGCATGTGCCCTCTTCTGCCTCTGCATGAACTGCTGGATGGCTAGGTCTATCTACCTCCAGAGTTCAGTATAATGACAACCTAATACATTCTTCAGAATTGGCCGTCTGGGGAGAGAAGAGAAAGAGGATGAGAAAGAAAATGGGTGCCATCAAATATGCGGGAACCCTGAAATAGAATAGAAACAGAAGTAGATGGACTGAAATTGTATTTCAAATGAACAACATAACCACATTGGATGATGCATGGGTTTTACAGACAGAGAGAGACTAATTCAAGTACCTTTTGAACATAATAGTTACACTCCGGTAACAGTAATCACGTCTATCACCAAGATCATGGTTTCCAAGTACTGTACTATTCTCCACTGAAAGGAACCAACTTTCCTTGGTTAAATAGTTGACTTTAGGTCTAGAACAGGACAGAAAGTACATAAGCCTAGAACACTTGTACCAGAAAATAAATAATCAAAGAATGATTGAAGGTGCTTCCTGGACAAATTTGGGACAATCTGAGCATCAAATTAAATAATGATGGGCCGGCCCAGTGGCGCACTGGATAGTGCGCCGCTTGGGAGGCGCGGCGGCGCTCCCGTCCGAGGGTTCGGATCCCACATACAGACCGGCTCCCGCTCACTGGCTGAGTGAGGCGCGGGTGCAGCGCTGAGGCTTGCAATCCCGTTGCCGGTCCCTGGTCCGGTACGGGGGCAACACTGAGGGTTGCGATCCGTTGCCGGACACGGAAAAAAGACAAAAAAAAAATTAAATAATGATAATAAAGCACTAGAACCCACTGAATATAATAAAAAATTCATGCATTCAAACTAAAGTATATAAACAAGCAAAGTACTTAAGTAAATAAGAAGGAAAAGTTCATCCTTAGAGTTTAAAACTAACTAATAGATTGAGAAGAAATGATGGAAATAGAGAATCACCATTTGGCAATCATCAAGCAAAAATCACCCATGGGTGCTAAAGCTAGGAACCGAAAATTTGAGGGGTAGCAGAATATTTACAAAGTCCCAACTTCCCTACGAGATAGCTACTGAGTGCAAAGGGAAAAGTACTAACTTTTACAAAAGCTGGAAGTCTCTCCCTTAACCAAGTGATCAAAATGAAGATCATGAACAGTGTGATAAACTCACATCACACCTGTCTCCTGATATAATGGTATTCTCACAAAAATGTAAAACCGAAATCTAGTCGTGAGGAAACATTGGACACTCCCAAATTGAAGGACAAAATAACTAATCTAAAAATTTTCAAAAGTAGTAATGTCATAAAAGACAAAAATTGAGGAACTCTTCTAGACCCCCCGAAAGTATATGATTCCATTTATATAAAACTCTAGAAAATGCAAACTACTCTATAGTGACTGGAAGAACAGTGTTCGTCTGGGAGGAAGGGTACAGGGAGGTGGGTAGGGACTACAAAGGGGCACAAAGAAACTTTTGGGAGTGATGGGTTTTGATTGTGATAATGGGTACACAGTGTACACATATGTCATATTATCAAATTGTGCACTTTAATATGTGCAGTTCACTGTATGTTAATTATACCTCAATAAGGCTTTTTAAAATTTTGAGGAGCTGTTCCAGATTAAAAGAGATCAAAGGAACATTTTCTTATAGGACAATTGGTGAAATATGAATGAGGTTTGTGGATTAGATAGTAATAATGGTTCAATGTCAATTCCCTAATTGTAATAATATAACTGAATATCCTTGTTTGTAGGAAATACACTCTAGCATGTAGGGGTAAAGGATATCATGTCTGCAAAACTCACTCTCGATTGGTTCAGAAAAAGAGGAAGAGATAAAGTAATGAAGTAATAGGATAAAATGTTATCGTTTAGGCATTATGGATGAAAGGTATACCAAATTCTCTGTACTACTCTTGAAACTTTTATATAAATTTGAAATGATGTCAAAATGATGAAATTTTTAATAAAGAATGTTATAATTAGGATATTACGACTAACAGCCAAGATATTCATTCAGCCATCAACAAATTTGTTTTTTTCCCATACTGATGGATCTTGACAACAGTGACCAGATTTGCTTGCCAGAGCTACAGATATAAACCACATGTCAACATCTAAATTTACAAATTTGGTTATCTGAGTCACGAATATATTTTCTTTTAACTAACAAGTATTTATTATGCACATCACCGTGCCAAGCTAGCCAGGCAGTTAGAGGAACAAAGTCACCTGGTTTGGAACCTGGGGAACACACATAAACAGTGATGACACGGTAAAGGGGTGAGTGAATGGCTGGAGTTTTGTCAGATTGGGAAAGGAAGAAGAGTGTGACATGGGCATGCAGACTGAGGCAAGAACGTGCACTGTGAGCTTGCAGACATGCAAGTAGGGCTGGCCAGTTAGCTCAGTTGGAGCTCAGTTGGCTAGATTGTTCTAACACCAAGGTCAAGGGTTCAGATCCCCTTCCTGGCCAGTCACACACACAAAAAGTAAGTATCTGGATACTGCTGCAGCCTCAAGTATAATGTGAAGAGAAATGAAGGCAAACAACAGAGGTCAGCTGTGCCAAGATCTTAAAGGTCATGTATTCCATACTATGAATCTAGACTTCATCTATTATTGAAAGGTGCTGAAGGTTTTGCTCTTTTTTCTTTTGTTTTAATTCAGTGAAATATGTCACATATACAGAAAAACACTAACTTAGGTAAGGAGAATCAGTTACAGAAAGAAAAGTTGAACTGCACCAGAGTTCAACTTGTTCAACTTCCTGGCTTCTCTGCTAGCTGGAATATTGATGACTACCTCCAGGGCATGGCCCAGAGAAGTACAATAAATACTTGCTGACAATAAAGAGAACACTGAGATTGTCCCAATAAGAGATAAAGACCTCAACTATAGCAGTGGCCAAGAATACGGAGAGGTAGGAGCACTCAAAGCCTACCTCAGATCTTGTAGAGCAAGATCATCTAGACGGGCAAGGAGAGCAAGACATCAAAGATGACTAAATTTTCTGTTTTGGCGACCATATAGATGGTAAGCCATTGAACCAAACGTAATGCAAGAGGAGCAGCAGTTTTGGGAAAGAAGAGAACAAATGTGTTTATACCTATTAGAGCGTTTTTGGCAATGACACACAGCTAGCAATGCTACAAATCAGTGGTTTACAAGGGAGTTCCCTCTGCTAGAGATATTATTACTAAGTGTTTTAGATATTTGTAAACTATTCAGTAACTAGTCACATTTGATCTACTACCACATGTGTGAAATGTTTTTTTTTTAAATTTAAAATTAAAAATTTTTAGGGCCGAGCCCGTGGCGCACTTGGGAGAGTGTGGCACTGGGAGCCCAAGAGAGTGTGGCACTGGGAGCGCAGCAGCGCTCCGGCCCCGGGTTGGGATCCTATATAGGTATCACCTGTGCGCTCGCAGCACTCACTGGCTGAGCGCCGGGCGGCCGGTCTCAAAAAGGAAAAAAAAGGGCCAACCCCATGGTGCACTTGGGAGAGTGCAGCGCTGGGAGCGCAGCGACGCTTCCACCACAGGTTCGGATCCTATATAGGAATGGCCGGTGCGCTCACTGGCTGAGCGCAGTGCGGGCGACACCAAGCCAAGGGGTGTGATCCCCTTACCAGTCATGAAAAAAGACAAAAAAAAAAAAAAAAAATTAATTTTTATTTATTTATTTATTTTATTTTATTTTTTAAAAAGATGACCAATAACGGGATCTCAACCCTTGGCTTGGTGTTGTGAGCACCACTCTCAGCCAGTGAGCCAACCGACCATCCTTATGTAGGATCCGAACCCATGGCCTTGGTATTATTAGCACCACACTCTCCCAAGTGAGCCATGGGCTGGCCTGTGAAATGTCTTGAGTAAAGGAAGATTATTCATTGTGGTAAGGTTTGTAATAACAAAATGTTTTTGAAACACCTTAAATGCCCATCAATACATGATTGGTTAAATATCTAGTCTCTTGTTTGCAATGTCTCAAAGAGGAAATCAGCAATTTTTAATCAATAATTTAAATCAGAAATGAAATAGAAAAGGCTGGCCGAATACTTCACAATACCTTTAAATCTATCTATTCTACCATACATGCATTCATAGTAGACACAATAACTATAACTTCAAGTGAATTATCTAAAAATCAAAAAACACCATATTTGGCACGTGTTTTAAAAGTCCGAAAAGCAACGGTTAGAGTTTTAACCAAGCTCCATAAAATCTTTTAAATAAATTCTAAATCAACCAATGCTTTTACTACCTTAGGTTCATATATAAACCGTAATAATAATAATGTTTGTATATCACTTTGAAGTTTACAAACCATTTTTACTTAATCCCAACAAGACTACGCAGAAATCACTGGCCCAAAGTTAAGATGAAAGCTATGTTATTGTTATGCAAAGTTCCAAGATTAAGGATGCAGTTTTATTCTTTCAAAAGGAAAGAAGTTTAATTTCTCTGGGTTTTAGGCTGCAAGAGAGTTAATGAATTTGTTCCACTCTTACTTTTTAAATCTGTAACTTCCAAGAAAGACATGCAACCAGCCAAAATGAGGCATTTTGGAAATCTTTGCAAAACCACATTTTATACCATTTCCCTACATTTCCACCAAATCCTATAGGGGAAAAACTGTTTGTTCTGGTTTTCTGGGACAAATTCTAAAAATAAGCTAAGGCATGAATGCTCAAGACATATATTTCGGGTAGGTCCACAAGCTCTTATAGATAACTTAAAGCAACATTCTACCAAAGTAAAAGGATTGTCTCTGCACAGATCTGTATACCAAGTGTCAGGAGAGACTTCCAGCCCCTTGGTTATTTACTTACCTCCAAAGGCACAATGACGGATGGTTTCTTTTTCAGCTCCTCACATTTCCTCTTCTTACAGATCTGATGGCTGTTCTTTCTGTTCTTGCAGTAGGTACATTCACCACAGTTGGTCTTCTGCTGGCAGGGCTCACAGACCCCACATCGCTTCCGTTTCTTCTTTTCCAAAGTAGGTAGCAAAGTTGTATAGGAAGGAGAAAGGGAGGTATTGACAAGTGCCCCTGTAGTAGATACCACTGTGGGGATGCTGGTCATGCTGGCCTGAGAACTCCCTCCTTTCAACTTGCTAGGACCAGCCTGGGAGAGGTGAGCGACACTGGGTGAAGCCTGGCAGAGTCTTCTCTCAGGAGCTAATTGGAACCCCTGAGTGGTAACTGGTGGAAAGCTTACATGAACCTGCTTTTCGTTTTCTACATTGCTTGCAGCCATTCCTGGAGGTACCGAACTTATCTCTGAGTTTGATGACAATCGAGGAGTGTGTCCTGAGCACAAAGGCAAAATCTGCATAGCACCCTGGACCTCAAGCCCATGTGAGGCAGTTCTCTGGGTCTCAGGCCATTTGGGGAGAGAATTATAGGTAGCAACTGGGTTTGGAGGAACAGGAAGGAAGACAGGAAGGTCTGGGGCAGCAGTTCCACCCACACCAAGAGTTTCTTGTTCTAGGATAGTACCAAAAACCTCTCCTTGGACTGGAGTAGCACCGGGAACCTCTGGTGGGGCTGGGATCTCACCCAGGGCCTCACCATGGGCTGGGTTAGCACCAGGAAATTTCCACTGATGCGGGATAGCACCTAGGACAGAGGTGGTATCAGGAACTTCCTGTTGAACTGGGGGAGCTTTGAGGGCTTCTTGATGATCTAGTTTAGCACCAAGGGCTTCTGGTCGTGACCCCACCAAGAGGAGTTTTATTAGCGAGGTGGGATGTATAGGTCCACCAACAGACAAGCAGTTTCTAAGGCCCAGTTCAGGGATAACCTTATTAAAACTGGAGGTGGGGCAGCAATCACGTTCACTTTTGATGGGATCAGATAGCTTAAGAGATTCTACTTGTGAACCCAAGTCTTCCAACTGAATGTTAGGGTTACTTTGAGAGGTAACTATGGAGGCTGCTCTTTGGGGCAAAGGAGCACACACAGTGTCCTGAGCAAACACTCTAGGGGAATCGCTGGTATCACTCAATGTCTCTTCAGAGAATAGTCCTTCACTATAACTCGCCCCTTCCAATGGCCCAGAAAGGATCTCTGTTGCAGGGGAGCTGTGAGTGGAGACATTTATTTTGGAATCTTCAACCCTTTGGGACCAAGACTGCATTGTCTTTTGGCTCTCACCTTTAATTAAAGATGCATTTTGTACACCAGTTAGATTCTCTATATTAGGAGGGATTAGGGGGTCCTGCATTGGGACTGAACCATTTTCTGAGTGCTTTATTCCCACGTCAGTGAGTACCTTACAATCACACTCATGTTGCTTTTCTAAACTCTTAGAAGTTGGAACTTTCTTAGGTTTGGCTATGACCAAAGGGGTTTGGGAGAGTCGTCTGCTAAGAGAGGTGCTTCGCAGAGCCATTGTAAACCCATTGCAAGTTAAGGACTCCGGGTTCTGGAAAAGAACCTCAGTCCTATCCAAATTCATGCGTGCAGCTCCAGCTCTTGTCAGAAGGCTTCTGACTGGCATAGATGGTTTGGGTTCTGTTTTTTTCTTAACATCTCTTTCTTGAATTAATTGCTTTAATTTTCCAGGGCTCACAGTCTTGACCGATGCCACATTTTTGTTGGCTGGCTTGGATGTCTTCTTCAGCTGGTTGTTTTTCTTTTTGTTTAGATCTTCCTTTCTGACTAATCTGGAAGGCCGAGCATGGCGAGACCGAGACATAGCTATGGAGTAGGAAAAAATGAAAGAGCATGGGAAACAGAGTCATTTGTCCTTTGGAAAGTCTCAGTTCTGAGGAGAATCTGAATGTATTGTTGTTGAGGTCAGTCACACAAAGTTTTGATCTGAAATAACAACAAAAAAAATTGGAAATGAGTCTTTTTCCTATGCATTCTCCCATTTGAAATAGAATATTTTCTATTAATTATTGTTTAAAATTAGGGAACCACGAATTTTACTACAAAATAAAAATATAATAGGCACAAAAATACTAAAATATTCTTTAAACCTTGGATTTACTATAAAACTTCCTTAATTGCTATGACAACTGCTGAAGTTTATAACGTTCTATGAACAAGTAAGCATGGAGATTTGTCTACGTTAGAGACCACACCTGTTCTAGTTACATGTATTTTATTTTATTAGTATTATTATCATTTTTGGTGGCTACCTGGAACAGGGATCAAACCCGGGACCCTGTTATCAGCACCTAACTGAGCTAACCGGCCAGCCTTAATTACATGTATTTTAGAGCATAAATCCCAATCTCTACAATTTGGATGCTTTAAAAATGATCTCTTAATCTTTTTTCTGAGCATATCCCCACCCAAACAGAGATATCATCTATTTGACAGTAAAGCTAGTAAAGCAAGAGAAAAGGCTTACATAATCCAAGAAACTCTACCACCTGGAGATCCAATAATATTAATACCACATTCCAATTAACGGTCCACAAAATTTGAACTTTTCACATAGTGACAAAAATAGCATAAAATCTCAGGAGTTAGTATTGATGTATTAGGTTACAAATAGGACTCACGGGTCCAATAAATATCTGTAGAGTACCTATTATGTGTAGGGAAGATATTGTGGTAGCACTGCCCTCACTCAGAAAATGGTGTCCCTCTTTTCTTTCACCCGAGTTAATCTAAAGACTGCTGGTCCTAAAATCCCTTCTACCAAGGGACCCAAAAGTTTCATGATGAATGCCTATGCAAGGAAATTGGAAAATAAGAAGAAAATGAGATAATTAGAATGATAAAAGCATACTAGGAAAGCAACTAATATTTGAAAGATAAGCAGAAAAAGAGGAGAAAATGAAAGAGTTGACCAACGGCCATCACCAGTTGCCTTTGCCTCTCCTCAGATTGCCTACCTTGCCCAAAATAAGAGCAAGCTATCAACAAGAACGAAGCTCACCATACTAATATATTAATAATCTCTCCAACGATCACACAATCAAGAATTTGACAACAGACTAGCTGAAAATTCTTTAACAGTTGACAGGTTGGATTTGTAAGTGTGTTGTAAGAAAACGGTTACCAACAACTCATGTGTGTGACTAAGTGATCAGCACTCACGAGAAAATGAAAAAAAATGGGGATAGTGTAAGATTTTGCATGAAACTGAATTTATTCACTTTAAACAACTTTCCTATATTCTGAAATTATGTCTTCCTGTTTTCTTCCATTAAAATGTCCTTCCTAAAATAAGTAATAAAAAGCCCTTTCTTTTGTGAAAGAGTAGCAGTAGGCTTCTTTCTTTATTTATTTGGCAGTTAGCTGGTACGGGGATCAAACCCTGAACCTGGGTGTTATTGGCACCATTATCTAACCAACAAAGCTAACTGGCCAGCTCTAATTTTTAGTGTTATTAATTGGCATAGTAAAAAGTTGACAGCCTTCTGTCATCCTCTAACTTTGTTTTTTGCTTTTTGATTTACTAATCTGATTCAGGTAATCCTGGGACTCACAAGTTGTTTTAGTGGCTAGAGATGGTCTCACATAAGAAAACCCTGAGTTTGAATCTCACATAAGAAGACACTGAGTTTGAATCTGTGATCACCAGCTGTGTCCTTCTGCAAACCACTTAACTGAGTCCACATTTCTTCATCTGAAATGAGGTTGTTTTGAGGTTTCAATGGGCTCCTACAGGGAAAACTTAGTAGCACTGGTTTCATCTTTGTGGTATCTGAGGTTGAATGTGGGGGGAGATGAGTGGCAGGGGGAGAAGTTGGATTTTGAACACAGGCAAACCTGTGTTCGGTTTTCAGGTCAGAAACATTACTAGCCATATGATTCTGATGAATTCCTCAGTCTCTCTGTACCCCAGTTTCCTTATGTGTAACAGAATAGGAAGCATAATAGTATTGAGCTCATTGGGTTGTCATGAGAATAAAATGAGACATGTGTAAAGGCTTATTAGCCCAAGGCTGGGACATAAAAGGTTTTTCATAAGTAGGAGCTAAAAAAATGTCTGTTCACTACTCCAAAATAAAAAAAAAAAAAAAAGAAGAGAAAATATGTTATGTGGTAATTATTATTATCATGGAACCAGTTCAACCCAGAGTTTGCCATACCCTATAGAACGAGATCTTGTTCTTTCATTTCTGTTCCCACCTTCTGCACTACAGGTCACACTATAGTGTAATAAGAGATCTCAGAGCACAACATTTAGAGTCAATGCACTGTGACTTTCAGACACACTAGACATTAGTAATAACATTAATTACACAAAAAATAACATTTTCATTTTGATAAATCTGTACTAAACACAAACACTAGGCCAGAGAATACTTCACTTGAATTCTTGGCATCTCGGCTAACAAAAATGTTTTGGCTTGCAATAAGTAACTTTTTGGATGTGAAAAACTAAGCTGTTTTCTCTAAAGACCTGTTTTTTGTACCAGCATTTTTAGAAAACAAAAAGACATTCCAATTCCAAACTCAAGAAAGCCAATAATATCTTTACAATTATACTTTTTCATTATGAAAAGTAATCCATTTCAACCTCTAGAAATTCAACAATATCACTATTAGTATGCTTTATCTCTTGAATCAAGATTACATTGCTAAAACATTATTAGGAGCATATAATCTAGGTATAGCAATCTGCCATGAAAATTGAAATTCATATATGTAGGCAAGTAATCTGGATATGCCAGAGAGTGTCATGGGATCTGCTTTTGAAAGTAGTTTATAAATTTATCTCTGTCTCATCTATATTCTTTTATATTTTTAAATTGAAGTGCTTTAGAAATTCAGGCTTGTAATTAAGATAATGTTTACCATTCAAACCTTATTTTCTAAAAAAAGACCCTGCCAAGGGAATGGAAAAGGTATGAGCAACATGGACTGGGAAGATGTGGCCTCTTTAAATGGTAACAGCCTTTTTATGAGATCTTGAAAGAGGCCAATGACTCCTGAAAACCCCAACTGCAGGGGAGAAAAGCACTGGGAACCACCCAGCCAAAGAATCAGAGACAATCAAAAACAAAATAAGGGCTCCTACAAGACCCCAATTTTATCACCCTTGGCTCCATTGATGAAATGTAAACTTCTTTATGATAAACTAAGTTGTCCTAAGGGCTGAACTCTTGGAGTAGGGGCAGCAAGCTTTTCTTGAAATTTTGGGGATGGGGGTGGGGAATGTAGCCCGTTCTGTTAAATAGGCCCACCTTTAAATATAAAATTACTCCCAAAGATGTCCTGAAATAAATTTTCCTTTTTAATTTGTAAACATTATTAAATGCTCTAATTCCATTTTTAGTGCTTTTGAGTATTTAACTCATACAAAAAGACATATTTACAAATCAATACTCAGATCCAGTCACTCAGATGAACTAAAACATTTTTTGAACAGTTAAATCTCCCTTGTGTACTCTCTTCTCTAATTCCTCTTCCATTTTTCATTTCTGATGAAAACTTGTTTCAATATTTCTCAAAATCAGTTTTATTCTATCCTAGAATATCTTCAAAAGTCTCAGTGCTGTGCGGATAGCTACATGACAACATGGTCTAAGCAGAAAACAAGACTGGTGACCCTGTTAATAAATATACATGGTGGGACAAGGAAGGGGAACCATGTGCAATTAATTGACACCATCCTGTGAGTTCTTATTGTCATGGAAAAGAAAAACAAAAAACAAAAACAAAAAACCGACTCTGGGATGCAAAACATAACTCATTTAACAAATTTTTCACCGGAGGTCACCAACATCCCTAACCCACAATAGAATATTTTTCCCCCTAAAATGTTCTTGTGACATAGGGGACTAGAGTATATGAGATCCAAAATTATAGGCCTGGAGATAAGAGGCCAACTCATAATCTTAGACATAAAAGACATAATGCTAGCCCAAAGTAGAGAATAAAAGGTTAAGGACAGAGTGCAGAAGTGGCCCAAAGCAGGTCCTGAAGCAAGCATTGATATAACCATGGCCTGTTTAAGGATCTGCCAATTATTCGCACATAATTTAAACTCACCTAACCAAATTGGTGAACAAATAGGATCAGAATTGAGCTTACAAAGTGATAAGAGGCTTTCCCTAAGGGAGCCTTTTTTACAATTATTAAAATAGTCTCCTTGCCTAGAAAAAGAAAAGTTGACTTCTTAAACTGTTGTCTGTATCAGTTGCCTGTCAAGGACAATATTGACAGCACCATGTCAGAAAATCCTCTCCCACCTACCTCCCTTCTTTTTCTGGATCTCCCAAAGTCCATCGGGCTGGCAATGGATGAACTGATTTAATCATCCAGTCCACATGTCAATTTAAAAATAAAATTGCAATCGTTCCCAATACCAGCAGTGGCCAAAAAAGTGGTATTTGCAAACATACAGCTAGTTGCAAAAGAGACTATGATTTCATAGTCCCCTCCATTCAGCTCCATAGAACTTAAAGCCTCTTGCACTTGGCTGAGAAAAACAAGACTTAAAACATTTCTTTTAAAAAGGCACCACCTGGCTCAGTTTCTTCCAGCAACTAAGTTCCACATCTAAAGGAAGAGGAGGCGGGCAACTGCTTGCTATTCCTAGATAGTTTTCTACCACAGGAAGTGTGAGAGCCTTCGGCACATGGAAAGGCTGTTCAGGGAAACTCACTAGAATGCCAGCAGATTTAGTCAAAGGCTCCTTCCATATGTAAAACATCCCTGCTGCCCTGCAGAGAGCAAGAAAAAAAAAAAAAAAAGTGCCAAAAAGGGCCAAGAAAAGGGAAGGGACGAGTTAAAATGGAGATAGAATGACCTTTCCAAAGACAAGAAAAGCATATAACACATTAGGAGGAGGAAGAAGAAAATGCATAAAAAAAAGGAAAATGTCTAAAAAGAAAAAAAAAATTACATTAATAAAGCAACATAAAACATAAAAAGACAACTGGATCAAAATGCCCAAAGGCTAAAAGTAAAAATTAAAGGTAAAAGACCAAGGGGAAAAAGAGAAATTAAGTGTGCAGAAAAGGAAAAATACAGATGCACAGGAGGTGGGGGAGGGGAGGGACAAACCAGATAAGATTGGAGAAGGAACAGAAACAAAGGGCTGGGACCATGGAGATCCAAACCTACAATCCATAGATTCTGGAAGACTAGTGCTAAGAGCGATAGTTAACTCTCATTAAAATGGTAAGTTGTGGTCCCAGAGTTGTAAATTTGGGCTGCTAATGTTTGCAAAGAGAAAGGGACATTGTATGTCATTTCACATATAACTTTATTCTGAATTTTAATTGAAACCATAACTTAGCTTTAAAGACAGTGAGGGGGCTGGCAGGTTAGCTCAGTTCCTTAGAGCGTGGTGCCGATAATATCAAGGTCCAGGGTTCGATCCCCCTACCAGCCAGCCGACAATAAACAAATAAACGAAAAATAAAGACAGAGAGGTTGATAATCTAATTAAGATCCCTTAATTGGGGAAGGAGGGGACTTCGGTTTTAACTTGTGTAACCAATACTGGTAAATCAGGAAACACACCAAAAATCACATAAGTCTTTTAGTTCTTGGAAATAATAGGGACTAACCTCCAAACATCTCTCTATTTAACTATTTACAAGTGTGCCCCCTTGTTTAAGTGTAGTCAAAAATTCCTAATATGCTCTAAATAGCCCTTGACCTAGCTGGTTAAGAAGCCCCCCCCCCTTTTTTGGTATCCTGAGTCCTAATAAAGCCTAATTTCACTTTATTTGTGGCGGGGGTGAGGGGTGAGGGGCGGACCCGAGGTTGCTGCCCTGCAGCGCCTCCCTAGAACCTGTCCCGGGTGCAGCGCGTGGCCCACCCTGCAGAGCCAAGGCTGGGCACCTAGTCGTTTCCTCTCTCGAAGGTCTTGAAGCTCTTTTCAAACGTTTCTTCATAAACCAGTCATTGCTATGATGTTGTCATGCCGCTCACTTAGTGCCCGAGAATGGAACCCGGCAGGAGAAGGGGAGGCACAGAGATGATTTACGCATGATGGTGGGTTAATTTGGAAGGAGGGCGAGTTGGGGGGCGGGGAGAAGACTACTAGTTCAAGCTTTATCTGTTCTCTTGGAGACGTATTAATTTTCAATGAGTCAGAAATGCCCGGTGTGGGTTCCCCGTTCACGTGGAAAGGTTGCTGGCGCCGGCTAGTTGCTCCCTGACCACTGCTCGTAAAAGCGCTCGTATAGGGACTGCACAGCCCTTCCAGAAGATGAGATCAGGAGTGCGGCGGGAGGGGGCCTGGGGGACGGGGGGAGAGGGAGGGGGAGGAGGAGCGAGAGTTTTAAACAAATTTCCCCTTCGCAGGCAGAGAAGTGGCGGCAGCCCCCGCCGCCTCCTAGCCTTCGGGCGGGGACCCGGTCGCTCCAGTGTCGCACGGCGAGTCCCGGGCACCCAGCTCTGAGTACCTCCCACCCTCGGGGCTCGCTCCGGGATCCTGCTCCAGTGGGACTGATGTGACCGCCACGCCAGCATGTCGTAAGAGTTTCTTAAAAGCCATTTTGACAGAACATGATCATCGTCCCCTAGTCTCTTCTTCCTCAGTGGCATGCCACTCCAGGTCAGCTCTAGCAAGACTCCCCAGCTGCCTCAAAGGTTCACCCGAGCCCCCCTCCCGAAACTCTCAGGAAGGCAGGCGCCGAAGTCTCCCTCCCGATCTGTCCCTATAGAAGTATGCGGGGAGGGACAAAACGGATTTGGGACGTGCTCCTGAGCACCGGACAGCCCGAGCTCCCCGCCCCGCAACTTGCACGAATTCTTCCCTCTCCTCCCTCCGAGGCGCCCCGACCTCCGGCTGCCCTAAGAGGCTCGGCAAGCTCCGGTACGTTCAGCGATCTCCCCCGGCCACACTTGCCCTCCCCCAGCCCCATTCCCAGCAGAGCCCGGGGTCCGAGCCCCAGGCATCCCCGCTGCCCCCATCCGGCACCCAGGCCGGGCCTCGGGGGTGGGCGGCTGCGTCCTCGGGCCGGGGGCATTGTTTACCACCCGCAACAAAAGCGCCCCTAGCAGCCCGGGGTGGGGGTTCGCGGCGGGGAGCTGGCCCACCCCGGCGGCCTCAGGAGAGCCGCAGCCACCGAGCCCCCGCCACGTCCAGACCATGCCGGAGGCCGCCTGGGCACTCCCCTCCGGCCTGGGCGTCAGAGTCCCCGCTGCCCCCATCCCTGCCCTCTGCCCCGGCCCCACCTCACCCCTGGCCGGCTCAGGCTCCCAGGGCAGCGCGGGATCCTCGGCTCCAAGCCTGCACCAGCCCTCGAGCAAACTTCCCAACTCACTCCTATCCTACAACTTTGCAGCTCGGGGCACCGGCAGGCGCCGCTGGTGCGGGCGGGCCCGGGCAGACACCTACCGGCTCCTGGAACGGTCAGGGCCGGAGCCCCCAGGGTGGGCGGCTGCTTTCCAAAGGTCCACGGTGGAGAGGCAGGTAAAGCTGCATGACTGGGGCGGGGCACGGGGGGCGTCCCGGGGGGCAGACCCGGGAGCAGAGGGGCCAGCGGCTGCGCGCACAAAGCGGCGCCGGAGAGGACTGCACGGCCACTCCCCGCCAGGTCAGCCCCCCGGAGCCGCAGTGTCTCCCCAGGACAGACCTCAGGGAGTGAAGCTGGGGCTCAGCCTTCGCTGGACCCTGCACCGCTGAGCGAGAGGCAAAACGCGAGCTGGATTTCCCTAAACCGGAGCTGGACTCCCCTGTCGACCACTCCCACTCCTCCTTCCCTTCGCCCCCCTCAGCTCTCCCAACTTCCTCCCCACCCCCTTTTGTTGGAGCGGGGAGAGGTAGATGTCAAGATTTTGTCATTACCTTTTTTCTGAGGGGCTCTTGGGCTGAGTGAGAAAAGTTTTTAGGATCCCTTAATTGAATGTTTATAGATACACGAAGGGGGTGCCAGGTCAGAGATGACACCATTGAGCAATATCTGGGTCGTGAGCAATGGAAAACCGCCCTCAACACCAAAGAGAGAAACCAGATGAGGGTTGTATTCCTTGACTCAGAGCTTGATGTCTGCAAAGGTCATCATAATATTTTTGTTAGTTATTTGGCCCTGGACCTCAGTGGTGGTCGTTTTCACTTTCTGAAGAAATGAAGGCGCAGGAAGCGGTAGGTTTCCAGCGTTAGAAAGAATAACTGGTGGCATTGCGCCAAAACTGACAGACTAGGGCATCTGAATTTAAATGCTAGATGACTATTGCTCCTTCCAGCAGTCAGTCATTGCACAGCCAGGGGAATCCAGGACTTTAATGGGGTCATGGTGGTAAGGAAAACGCTGGTCACAGAACTATCATTCCTTCCAGGTCAAACTTCAACTGAAAAGATTCATTGCCTTTCACACCGTTCTACCCCGACTGCACGCTTCAATTGTATTCTTTGTTATACACACTTTATAAGTGCAACCTGATGAACAGATCCCTAACGTTTCAGCCTTCCTTACTGATTGATCCATTCAAATTTACTCTTGAGCTAGGATGTAGGCATACAAAAATGAATAAAATTTGCCTCCTACTCAGAAGGAACATAGATTCCAGGCTGGCAAGCAGAACAAACTGATGACTGCACTAGTGTTTTTAATGCTACAATCAGACAAAGCACTTTGGATGGAGAAAGTCAGAAATGTGACATCTGAAATTAATCTGATAGCCAAAAATAGACTCTTCCCAGTCAATGCTTCCAAAAGCATGATTGTTAATACTTTGTCAGAAACATTCTCCTGAGACCTACCTAGATGAAAAGGAATGTTGGGAGAGTTTGACTCAAAACTTGATTTCCATGAAGAACAGAAGGGAAAAGACTATCATGAAATAGCAATACCTTGGCTTTCTGTCAACTAATTGAATTGATTAACTTAAAAAAGTATTGAAAGGGGAAAATCATACAATGATGTAGAAATACATCAATGGTAACACTCATCTCTTCATTCCACAAATGTTTGTTGAGTCTCTACTAAGTGCCAGGCACAGTTCTAAACTCTGGGGAAACAGCAGTTAGCAAAATGAAACCTCTTCCCTTGTGGAGTTTGCATTCCATCTTGGTGTAGGGCTGGGGGTGGGGCAGGAAATAAACAAGATAAGCAGAATATATAGTGTGTCATATGGTGATAAGTGCAAGGGAGAAAAAAAGCAGGGAAGGGGACAGGGAATTCAATTCGGGAGGATTGCAATTTTAAATTCAACAATCAAGGAAGACCTCATTGAGTAGATCCCAAAAAGGTAAGAGAGGAAGATGGGGGGAAATGGCATGCTTAGGGAGGAATAAGTGCAAAGGCTGTGAGGCCAGATTGTGTCTGTGGCAATGCAAAAGCTTCACTGTTTCACAAGAGTGAAAACTTGGAAAACTTCCAAATGTCCATCAATGCGCTGTCCAGTTAATTCATTTGTTTAGAGTGCAGTGTTACCAAGTCAAGGATTCAGATCCCCGCACCAGCCAATCAGCCAAAAAAAAAAAAAAGTACATCAGAAAAGGTCCCAAAGACTTGGTCCCACCAGCCAAGTCTGGGATGATTTTGTGTTTGGCAAAGAAGACTTATCTGAGAGAAACAAATTTGAGAGTCTATGTTTTGTAGTGATGAATACGCTAATTATCCTGATTTGACAGTAACACATTGCACACAGAGTTTTTTGTTTTTTTTATTTTGGTGGCTGGCAGGTATAGGGATCTGAACCCTTGACCTTGGTGTTAGAAGACCACGCTCTAATCAACTGAGCTAACAAGCAGCCTAACACAGGTATTGATATTCAACTCTGGACCCCACAAATATGTATAACCAATTATGTTTCAATAAAAAGCAAATTCAGGAGCCATCAACATGTAGATGATACTTAAAGCCACCCGGGCCGGCCCTGTGGCTCACTCGGGAGAGTGCGGCCCTGGTAGGGCCGAGGCCGCGGATTCGGATCCTATATAGGGATGGCCGGTGCGCTCACTGGCTGAGCGTGGTGCGGACCACAGCGTGCCGAGGGTTGCGATCCCCTTACCAGTCAGGGGGGCGGGGAAAAAGCCACCTTGGTATCTGCTTCTTAGATGTAGCACCTAGCAACATCAAGTCCATCTGAACCTGTCGGAAAAGAGGTCTGATATTTATAACAGAAACTAAAAGGTTGAACAAGTCTATTCCCTCTCAAATTATTTCTCATCTTACTGTTGTTCTATCTCTAAATCACCTTAGAAGGCCTTCTCACTAAGTACTTTGGATAGTGCCCTAGGGGAAAAATATATAGAGAGATCTATATATATATATGCTCTCCTCAAATACACACACACACACACACACACACACACACACACACACACACACACACACACACGGTTTCTTTCCTGAAGAATATAATCCATTGGCCAAAATTAAAAGTTTGGTAGGAATTCTTATACCTTTCTGGTAGTTTATTTATTTTATTTTTATTTTTTATTTTTTTTTTGGACCAGTAAGGGGATCGCAACCCTCGGCTTAGTATTGTCAGCACCATGCTCAGCCAGTGAGCGCACCGGCTATCCCCATATAGGATCCGAACCTGCAGCCTCGGCACTACCAGCGCCGCACTCTCCCGAGTGAGCCACGGGGCCGGCCCCTTTCTGGTAGTTTAAATGGTACAGACAGACAGACTCATTTTCGATAGGGAGATCAGGGTAAGAGACAGATAGGTGATACATAATAGTAGGTAAGAAAGAGTTCATTGTCCCTTGGTGACCTGGGACAGCACAATCTGCAGGGTCATGGCAATAGCCAAGGGAGCTGGGCAGGATAAATCTGTAGTAGCAGAAGCCAGTGGTAGATTAGCATTGGAAAAGGTCTAATACTGCCAATTATGCTAGGATTCCAAGGGAGAAAGAAAAATTTAAGAGTAGAAAGACCTAAAGGAATTATTAGAGAACTTGCATTGAGCGGGTTTTCAGGAATTGGAATGTAATGGTCAATTTACTGGCAGACTGAAGGAAAAAAAATGTTTTTTTCTCTCTACTCACACTCAACATAGTACAGAACATTTCTGTGACCAGATGTGTAGAGATTTTTCCCCCACACATCGAGAAATTCTCCGACACCAACTGGGTGTCCTACAATTTCAATTCAGTTCTGACCCTAGTGACCTGAAGATAGCGTCAAGTCCCACAGGTTAAGGGCTCAGTCCCGCAAGACTCCTCCACTTGAAACACCAATCGCAAGTGTCAGTTTGTGATCTGATACTACAAAGCTATAATAACCAAAACTGCATGGTACTAGCATAAAAACAGACACATGGATCAATGGAATAGAATAGAGAACCCAGAAATCAACCCATACACCTACAGCCATCTGATCTTTGACAAAGGCACCAAGTCTACACACTGGGGAAGAGACTGCCTCTTCAGCAAATCATGCTGGGAAAACTGGATATTCATATGTAGGAGAACGAAACTAGACCCATACCTCTCACCATTTGCCAAAGCCAACTCAAAATGGATTAAAAAATTAAATATACATCCTGAAGCAATAAATATCCTTGAAGAAAACATAGGGGAAACACTCCAGGAAGTAAGAGTGAGTACAGACTTCATGAATATGACCTCAAAAGCACAGGCAACCAAAGGAAAAATACACAAATGGGATTATATCAAACTAAAAAGATTCTGCACAGGAAAAGAAATAATCAAGAGCTAAGAGACAAATGGGCAAAAGTATTTTTAAAGTATTCATTTTTTTTTTTTTTTTTAAAGATGACCGGTAAGGGGATCTTAACCCTTGACTTGGTGTTGTCAGCACCACGCTCAGCCAGTGAGCGAACCGGCCATCCCTATGTGGGATCCGAACCCGGGGCCTTGGTGTTATCAGCACCGCACTCTCCTGAGTGAGCCACGGGCCGGCCCTGTAATCTGTACTTCTGACTACCTATTAATTAAGGTTCCCACAACCCCTCTCCTCAAGTTTGATAATTTGCTAGAACTCAGAACTCAGGGAAATGCTTTACTTACATTTACCAGTTGAATGAATAGATGCACAGGGCAAGGCTGTGTGTGTTGTGAGGGGAGGTCATGGAGCTTCCATGCTGTCTCTGGGCCTGCCAACCTGCCAGCACCTCCAAGTGTTCAGCAACCTGGAAGCACATCAAATCTTGTTCAAAAGTTTTTATAAAGAGTAATCTCCAGGCACCCCCCAGCCCCACCCCCAGCTTTCCAGGAAGTCAGTGCAAGGGGCTGAAATTGTTGACCAGCCCCAGCCTGAGGCTATCTGGGGGCCCCACCCTAAGTCACCTCATTAGCATAAACTCAGGTGTGATAAAGGAGTTTGTTAAATAACTAAAGACATTCCTTTCACTCAGGAAATTCCAGAAACATAACCCCCCATGGATAAGGGGGGACTACTGTATACCACACAGACACAGACATAAAACCCTTTTCTTTCTGACTCAAGTTTCTAAATTGAATTGAAGAGTATCAAGAATACACAGGGTACACATAATACACAGGAAGTCCAAACCAAAAGACATTTTAGTGAGGAAGGAGGAAGAAAAAGGAAATCAAATTGATATTCTGAGGGAGAAAAAATTGGAATTGCCAAAATTTGTTTTGGAAGGAGAAAAACTAGCATATTTTCAGTGACTGTAGAGCAT